TTATTGGTCGGAGCGGGGAAGGGGCGGGGCGATATCCGAGCCGGCGCCGCTCATTGGCCCAGGCGAGGCCGGCAGCCTGGCCCTCGCCGCTCCTCGGCCTTTGTTTCTGACTGACAGCTGGGACTGCTCGGCACTCCAGGCTCCTCTGCGTCCGCGGCGGGGGCCGGGTCCCGGGGGCCCTATCTCCCCGCTCTCACTTCCAGCAAAACCCGCCGAGTGGCCGTGCCTGCTGGACCTTTTTGTCTCCTTTCCCCCACTGTTCCCATCTAACTCTCGCCCCCTCCCGTTTTCCTTCTATTACGGGCGCGCCGTCCTTACTCGTTCAGGTCTCCTTTATCCGCTCCCTTCTTTCCCCTTTGCTCCGCATTTCCCACCTTCCTTGGCACCCCTTCTTATTCACCAGTGTCTTTTTACCAGCCAGGCCTCCTCGTTCCAACCCCCGAGCCCCGCCAAAAGGCTAGATTTCTAGGCTCAGAGACTTGACCAGCAGCCCAGTGCGGGGCAGGGCTTCCCCTTGCCAGGGCTGCAGACGGGAGCCGAGCCCTGGCACTCCTCCTCCCAAGACATTTCCAAGGCCAGCTTTTCCAGGTCCCTCCCAGGGACTGAGTTTCAGGGAAAAGCCGAGACCTGTTTCAAGTTTATAGCTATTAATTTCACCCAGTACCTGTCTAACACTATCATTTTCTCTACCACGCTCACTTTCAACTTTTGGCAATTGAGCGAGGAGGAAAACCGAGCTTCCAAGGACAGTTAAACGGGGTGCCAGGTGTTGCATGAGGCTCTGGTCCTGAGGGTGCACTGAGACTAATCCTCTCAAACCCAGGCCTGGCTCTGCCCAGGCAGCCACAAAAGAGACATGTGTGAGTGTGTGTGTGTGTGTGTGAGTGTGTGTGTGTGACTGTGTGTGACTGTGTGTGTGTGACTGTGAGTGTGTGTGACTGTGTGTGTGACTGTGTGTGTGAGTGTGTGTGTGTGAGTGACTGTGTGTGTGTGTGTGTGTGAGTGTGTGTGTGTGACTGTGTGTGACTGTGTGTGTGTGACTGTGAGTGTGTGTGTGAGTGTGTGTGTGACTGTGTGTGTGAGTGTGTGTGTGTGAGTGTGTGTGTGTGACTGTGTGTGTGTGTGTGTGAGTGATTGTGTGTGTGAGTGTGAGTGTGTGTGTGTGTGTGTGTAGGGGGGAAAACTGAGTAGCTGACCTCTGATTATAAGAGGAACGGAGGAAGACTGCCCTAAGGGAAGCAACACCCTGTTGTTTCTGCCACCCTCTGCTCAATACCCTGCGGGAGACCCTCATTACCAGGTCTAGACCCTGAAGACTCCCAGCTCTCAATTCCGGGCTTCTGGAAGGCAGCACAGCATGAGGTTTGAGAGCACAGACAGGCTCTGACACTTATCATCTGTGTGACCCTGAGCAGTGCTTTAACTTCCTTAGATCTCAGGGTTTTTTTACTTATAAAACGGGAGTGACAATTCCCAGAATGTAAACTCCTGAGGGCAGGGACCTATTCTCTTGTGTTCATGGCTGAGGGACTAAGTCTTGTTTTGTTCATGGATGTGTTCCCAACACCTAGAACTTGCCTGGCACATACTAGGCACTCAATAAATATTTGTTAAATAATGAATTCATAGTTTGTAGTTTGTTGTGAGGATTCCATAAGAATCCCTGGTAAGTGGTAAGTATTTACACACGGTAGCTATTACGAGTAATACTACAACTTCTCTGTATCAACCCCTAAGGCTACTCAGCCTTCTCAACTTCACCTCTCCTTTCCCACCTTTGTATGTACTCGTCCCTCGGTTTGAAAAGTCTTTCTTTACCTGTGAAAATTTGAGACCTAAAATGCAATTCCTGTTCACAGCTTCTCTGATCACCCCAGTCAGAACGAGGCCCCTTTTTCTGAAGCCCCTTGCTTCCTGTGGCCCATTCATAGGCACGGCATATGTATGCTTGCTTGCATGTGGCTGTGTCTGCAGGGCTGCCTCCCTAGAATGTGAGTGATCTGGGGTCAAGGACTGGACTCTATACCTATCTCCAGAGACAAATGTGGTACCTCACAGTTGGGAGTTTCTCAGGAATATTTGCTGAATGGGTTAATATAGATTAGATATCCCAGCCCCTTAAATAAAAGGTAGAATCTTGGAAGGTAGAGTAAGGGATCAGGAGGGCTCCAGACTTCAGTCAAACTCATTTTTGTGTCTTCAGCTGTGGGATTCCATGGAAGGGGCAAAAAAGCTTCAGGTGGCCTGCTGCTCCTGGTTCTGACCCTACCGTGACTATTTAAATGCTGTTGGAAAAGTCGTGTCCCTGGCCAGGCCTCGGTTTTCTCATCTGCAAAGTGAGTAGTTTGAATGAGACTCTCTAAGAGCCCTCTTTCAGCACTGGTACACGTGGTTCTCTGACAGAAGCATTCTAGGTAGAAGATAAGGGCTGACGTGCAGCCCTCTTATAATGACGGAGTTAGGCAAAGGGGGTGGACAGTGCCTGGGTGAGGGGTGGAACCCGGATCCAGTATGGAACAGCAGAAACACCCTGTGCCAGGGATGCTTTAGAGGTAACAGTGGAGGTGGAAGTAAGGAAGAAAATGGGGGGAGGAGAGCTGTGATGGTATAGTGTGTGTGTGTGTGTGTGTGTGTGTGTGTGTGTGTGTTCATAAAAGCCTCAGGAATGTGGTCTCCAGAAGTACAAGGCCATAATTAGCTCCCTGATTCAGCTGTTGGTTATGGTAATGCAATGGCTGGGTGTGTCTGCCCCTAAAACCCCTGGTGAGATTCTCAGTGTGGCTCCTCTTCTTTTGTCGAGCGAAGGAGTGCTGCTGTTCTTGGGCCCTGGGTATCCCATTTGGACATCCGTGTCACTCAGGCTTTCCCTTGTCTGAACTGAATCTAGAAAGCTGGGTTATAAAGCGTGTTCTCATAAAGAGTTTTCTGCCACCCTCGTCTACTCATCACCTAAGATTCAAGTAGCTTACTGTTCCAGGTTACCATTCTGTTCTTCATCTCTGCAACCTAAGATTGGCCGTGTAGGACCGGGTCCGTGGGCCAGCTGGCCCGGCAGCTTGTCTGGATTGGAAATACCTCTGCCTTTCTAACGGGCTTTTGCCTATCACAGTTCAACTAGTTGTCTGCCTTCCC